TCACATTTCACGCAAAGTCACTGCAAATGACCTGGGTCCACCATGGAGAGTCCTTCCTCTAAGCAACATGGAGTAGGCTGACAAAGAAATTGCGAAGCATCATTCCTACTTGGCAATGGCTCTCAGCATGAAACCTCAAAGTTTCTATCAGAACTTTGGTCACTGTATCCTTATATCTGCCCTTCTCCATTGTTTCTAACTTTTTTCTCAACTCAATCATGGGAAATGTAAAAACAGAGAAGAAAAAACAATCCAAAACAGCATCTATAGCTCTTTGGCATTGTGATCCTGCTAATGCATTGGGTTTCTCCTTAGATTTCTTTCAACACAGTCACTCATTCATCAACTATGTATTTATTTATTTACAAAATATTTGGAGTACAGATCAGGGTGGGGATGCCAGCACCCATGGGATGGGGAGCTAGAAACCAAGATTTCACCCTGGAGTCCCACTTGGAGGAGGGGCACCCAGACAGCAGCTGGTTCCTTGTCAGGCCTACATTCATCATGTTGGGCTTTGAGTGGGCATAGCTTCCCTGTCCCGCCCTGGACCAATTAGAGCCACCCTGCCCTGTTCACTTGGAGTTTGGGAAGATCTCCTGGAAACCATACTTCTAGGTCACCAGTGTGGGACATGCAAATTGCTCTATGAACATTACTCCCTGAGCTCCTGGGCTCTGGTTGGGACTCACGCTTTCATTCAGTCAACCAGTTGCTCAAACCTCCTCCAAACGGGGGCCTTGTTGAGCACATGTGTATATTTTGGGGTGTGGCCCTGTCACATCAATCCTCAGGGGCCCTTGTCATAGTCCCTCTTCCCATGATATAGCCTGTGGTGACAAGCCCCTATGGAAAGTACTTGGGCCAAGATGCAGTTGGCAGCTAAGGTCCTGCCACATTTCAAGAAGGGATCCTCTCCTTGTATCAAACCCTTGGTGTGTTAGGGGCCATGGGATCTGGGCTGATCCCATACCATGCTGGACAGACAACAGGGCCATTTCCTGGGCTCCAGTGCCTATTTTATCTTTCCAAGGGATCTATTAGTGTGTGTAGAAAGTCAGCTAGGTAAAAATAGTCCTGATCCATGGACACTGAGTATTCCCTGGCTGCATTAGCGCATGCTCTCATTAGTTTTAAGATCTGAGCTTAACTTTCTGGAACAGAAAGCTGGAAGGGATAGCCTGATATAAATTTTAGAGCAAAGAATCAAGAGACTTGGGGAGCTGTGAGAACTTCAACAAACTCAAATTTTCCTTAGCCTCAGTTTTTCCATCTATGAAATAGGGGTGGCATATAAATTGTAGACTGTTTAACACATGCAATGCATTGACCAGGAGATTATGACAGTGGACTCTTTACTATAGTGAACCTTTATGTTTTCCCTTAGATAAAAATGTTACATATTTTACTAGTTTGTATTTTGAGAAAAAAAAAGACACCACATTCTACATTATAAAGAAACTAGAGTTATTATCTCTCTCATGTTTTTAGCACAAGGTTTGTTGATTGTTTGGTGAAACTTATTTCAATTTTCCTTATCTATTAACTTTTAAAATGCCAGACTGTAAAGGATAAGTTTCTAACAGTACCAGGTGGTGTTTCAAGTGTGCCTATTTCATCTAAACCTCACAGTCATAACCCAAAAAGGAATTGCAGGAGAATATGATTTTGTGAGTCAGTAAGGCAAATTAGAGGGTGATTCAAGACCACTCTAGGTGCATAATTTACATGTTACCAGGTTAATAGCACACAAATTTAAAATAATATGGTGGAGAAAACACTAAACTGAGATTTAGGGACTATAAATTATCTAATCCTATCACTGACCCAAGTGATAGGGGCAAGTCACTTTCCATTGTTAGTTCTCAATTTTCCAAACCAAAGTGAAAGTGATAGACTGGGATTCTTTCAGTTGAGAATCATTTTCTGATTCTTGGAGGAATAATGGAGTACTGCTAAGGTTTCCCTTTGTAGTAACCTGGTTCAGTAGCAGGAACCAGGGCTTTGTTTAAGGGGCATAGTTCTGGCAAAATTCTTTCCTTCTCTTACAGCTTCTGAGTTTATTTTAAAATTATTTCCATACCTCAGTGAGCTCACAGTACATGTTGCTGTTGTGTCTAAGTCTCCAAGCAAAAGGCATGACCAATGACATTCTTCACAGAACTAGAAAAAAAAACAGTTCTTAAATTCATTTGGAAGAATAAGAGACCCAAAATAGCCAAAGCAATCCTGAGCAAGAAGAGTGAGGCTGAAGGCAGCCCAATACCTGATCTCAAATTATATTACAGAGATATAGTAACAAAAACAGCATGGTACTGGCATCAAAACAGACAGGAAAAACAATGAAACAGAATAGAAGACAGTCCTATATACATACTGTCATCTGATACTTGACAAAGGTTCCAAAAATATATGTTAGAGAATAGACAGTCTTTTCAACAAATGGTGCTGGGGAACTTGATATCCATACGTACAAGAATGAAACTAGATCCCTAATATCTTACCCTGCACAAAAGTTAAATCAAAATGTATTAAAGACTTAGGAATTATACCATAAACTTCTAGAAGCAAACATACAGTCAATACTTCAACATATTGGTGCAGGCAATAACCTCCTTAACAAGACCCCTAAAACTCAAGAAATAAAATAAAAAATCAGGACTGGGGTTGTAGCTCAGTGGTAGAGCATTTGCCTAGCTTCTGCACAGCAAAGGAAATGATTAAGAACATGAAGAGAGAGCTTTCATAATGGGAGAAAATCTTTGCCAGCTACTCCTCTGTAGAGGTTTGATACCCAGATATATAAAGAACTCAAAAACTGAGCACCAAACCCCCAATCAATAAATGAGCAAAATAACTAAACAGACATTTCTCAAAAGAAGCAAATGGCCAACAAATATCAGAAAAAAAAATTTAACATCTCTAGTAATCATGGAATTGCAAAACAAAACTACAAATGGTGCCTCCATTTGAGTGCCAAATGTAAGTGAGGCCCTATTGTCGGAATTGGGAGCACATGTTCCTTCTCCCAGGTTCCTTCCATGTTTTAACAGATTTTGAATGGTTTATTTTGGTTTAGCAATACTTCATGTATTTTTCCTCATGAGATAACCAGGATTATCTCATCAATCTGATATAATTATTGTGCTATATCAAAGGAAGGTGATGTTTTAAGTTGCTTTTGATGCCTTATACTAAGTAAACATTTCAATTATTAGGTCTTTAAAAAATATGTAAAATTGGCCGGGCATGGTGGCACATGACTGTAGTCCCAATGATTGGGCAGTCTGAGGTAGGAGAATTGCAAGCTTGATGCCAACCTCAGAAATGCAGTAAGACCTCATCTCAAAATAAGAAGGACTAGGAATGTTGCTTGCTGGTAAAGTATCCCTGGGTTCATTACCACACGCGTGTGTGTGTGCACATATGTGTATGAAATATACATAGAAAATTGTTCTCTGTATTCACCCATTACTACATTATAGGGGTAATGGCCTCTCTTGGATGATTCTGTACAGCAGAAGTCCACCAACTTTTCCTGTAAAAGGACAGATAGTAAATATTTTAGGTTTTGTTTACCATACCACCTGGCACAAATGAACACTGTAGTTGTGGACCATACAAATGAATGACTGTGACTCAATTCCAATAAATTGTATTTATAAACAATGATATTTGAATTTCATAATTCTCATGTGTTGTGAGGTGTTATTCTTTTTTGACTTTTTTCAACCACTTACCAATGTAGGGGGAAAATAGTTTGGTCTTGTGCTGTAGAAAACCAGGCAGCAGGCTATATGTACTTGGCTGGCTACAATTTGTTAACCCTATGGGTAGATTTTTCGAGCTCTTCCTAAGTTCTTATATTAAGTGGTTATTATCCACCTAAGGATGGAGATGAGGCCAATAGCAGGATTATTAAATTCGAACTGAAGTTTGAAGTCCAGGCTTCTGCTGCACAGTCTACGGCTCTAAGGTTTACTCATAATTTCAGATGTGGTCTTTATGTTTCTGTGGTGCAGAAAATAGATGTGTGGTCAGCGACTGTTTCCAGACTTCGCCCATGTAAGGGCTGTCCTCTCATTAGCAGCCAGTGGCAACCTAATTTTGACAAGCCTGACCCTGGGCTTACACACCCTTTTCGTTTATAACTCTCTCGGGTTGCCATCTGTCCTTACTATTTGAGTCCCTGTTGTCTCATTGGTGGCTTTCTGAGCAGCTGCAAAATGTTTTTAACTTTGAGTGGAAGTTGGGGTCACCACTACCGGACTGGAACAGTCTCTCTCAGCAAGGGCTCTATCAGCGGGCGGTTCCGTAGTTTCACGGCCTCTGGTGAGTGGTAAAGCAACTGTTCCTCCCCGCTTTCCATGGCTGCCCTTCCAGTGCGGGCAGTAATTAATGACCCATTGCTCAAGGACAGGTGGAATAATGTGCATTGGTTTTCTGTGTTGTTGTCGGAAACTGCTTAGTTGCCTAGCACCACAGTCGTCTGTTTCCTTGTCTTTCCCGCGGCTCCGGTGCTCCGGTCGCCTCGCTCAGGCCGGTGGGCGACCGGGACTGAGACGGGCGGCGGCGACGACGACGCCCGCCGGGAGGAGTATGCTGCGAGGCAAGTCCCGGCTCAACGTGGAGTGGCTGGGCTACTCGCCTGGCCTGCTCCTCCAGAACAAGCCGCTCCTGGCAGGGCGCACGCCGCGAAACCTTCGTGGGTAAGTCACGTGAGCTCTAATACCGAACCCGGGCCGGTGCCCGCCGTAGTCTTGCATCACCACCCTGCGCCGCGCCTGCGTACTTCACTCTGCACGGAGTTCACAGGGACACTTCCGGCGCGGCAGGCCTGGAACTGTGGTGCTCACTCAGGGGCCGCTGAGCCCAACCCGCTGCCGAGTGCTTGCGGCTGGCGGGGCGACACAATGGAGCGCCTTGATAAAGCGGCGCTGAACGCGCTGCAGCCACCTGAGTTCAGGTAGCCCGGAGCGCTCCCGGTCTGTGAAGTGGGCGGGCTGGGGCTTGCACTGGGGCTGAGGGAAGGGCCCCGCAGGACTGGCTGGGCATGAGATCTGGATTCCTAGGGCCAGACCTTGGGGCGGGGGAGCCGAGAGGCAGGTTGGAGCCTGCAGGGTCTGCATGCCCAGCCTCAACCTTTCACTTGGGAAGGACGGATCCAGGGTGCGGGAGGTAGGTGAGCGGCCCTTTAGCTCTTGCTTCTGTCCTAGTACTTTCTCCTGATATTTGAGTTGCATTCTTGCTGTTTGCTGTCTCTCTCCCCACTACAGGGAGACTTATCTTGTACTGGCTCCCCCTCCTCTACCAAAAACTCTTAATTAAACTTCTACAGAGACCCTCACCATAATTGTTCTTATCAGCAAAAATTTCTCCAAAAACTTCAATGAGGGATAGGACTTCCTATTTTTGGTGAGGACTAAGTTGCTCTGCCTTGCCAAAGCTAAGTTCGGCCCCAGACTTGATGATGTTACTTCTGCTTTTGTGGTCAAACTTGTAAAACCTCTGACTAATATTAAAAAATGGGACAAAAAGCACTTGTCCTGTAAACCTTCAAGCCCCAACTCCCACTGGGTATAAAGTCCAGGAATATCCATACTCAAGGTCCAGAGAATTTTTTAGGTGATAACTCCTCTGAACCCTGTACCCAATAAACCCACTTCCTGAAAATTCCTCAGGTGTCCATCCTCTTCTGTCCTACATGATTTGGCAACCCGTGTGGGACAGTGGAGGTCAAGACAGCTTTTCTGCCTCGCTTGTCTCTGGGTCTGTCTTCCTAGGCATGTGGGAAGACAACACGTCTCCTTGGTCCACCACAGGCAACTCTTTGCCTGTCAGTGAGGTGACTCATCCGGCATCCTGAGCTGCCACCCTGAGCACAACGGAACCCAACAGGAGCAGGAACGCCAGAACTAGGGAACTTGAGCACCCCAACTGAACAGGTAGGACCCAGATCCATTACTGGTTGCCCACCTGGCCTCCCCATAGAGGCCTCATCAGGTGGAAGAGACGCTTGATCAACCCTGGGGGTCCTCAGTAACTTCCAAAGGAAGCAGAGCCAAAAAGGACCCGGGGAGTTGTCTGGGTAGTCATCGTTTGGGGTCAGAGAGAAGAAGGGAAACCAGGACTCGTTCTTCGGCTTTGGAGTTTTGGGAATTGGGTGTGTGAATGAGATGGACAAGGGCCGAAGCGAGTTTGGAGTCCCCATCCGTGCTTCTGTGGTTCCTCATATAGTCTGAGGCGGGTTTCCACCAATCAACATCTAGGTGAAAGCCCCAGGCCGGGGGTTTGTGCACACCTGCAAGGCTGAGAGGAGCCTAAGTCCTCGAGGAGGGGATGGCCACAGATGGATGAAGCGAGTCTTGTCCTAATTGTGTGACACCAATGCACAGTGCAACACGGGAGGCACACACAGTAAACTGAGTCCTTTGAAATGTATGTTAGAAAACTTTAAGAAAGGTTTTAAAGGCAACTATGGGGTGAAACTCAATCCACAAAAGTTATGTACGCCCTGCAAATTAGAATGGCCAACCTTTGATGTGGAACGGCCACCAGAAAGATCTTTAGACAAAAGTGTTATTGGTGAGGTCCTTTTAATACTTATCAAAACCCCTGGACACCCAGTCCAATTCCCTTATATTGACTGCTGGCAAGAGATAGCACAGAAACAGCCCCCTTGATTGAGAGCCTGTCTAGAAGGACAGTCCAAGCTGATGTTATCTCAAACTATAGTGGCCTCTAAGACCCAACAAAAGGGAACTGAACAGAAAAACCTGACAAAGAAAAGACAGAGAGGAAACCAGCTTTTCCCCCTGAGCCAGAAGAGAACCCATCACCTTACATGCCACTGTTCCTGACATTGCCAAGACCATCGAGGCCACAAGCTGTCCTCTCAGCCTCTTGTCCCCAGAGGCAGCAGACTGTGGCCCCCTCGACACTGGCTACTCCTTTCTCCTTACTGTCCTCAGTGCCAGAGGCTTCCCCAGACTCCTTAATTCCCCGAGACCAAGGTGGGAAAATTGTTCCAAGAACAGAGGCATAACCGCGATGAGAGCTCTGCAGATGCCCTTACAAGAAACTAAAGACCTGCCTCTGTTGACCAGGACGGAAATGTCTGAGGGGAACAATGCATTTTTGTGTGCTAGCCTTTTACCACCATTAATCTCTTGAACTAGAAAAAAAATCATACTCCCTCCTACATGGAGAAGCTACGTGGAGGGCCACGATTGATCTGATGCAGTCCATTATCCAGACAGACCAGCCCACCTGGGTTGATGGGCGAGTGACCCAAGCAGCTTTAAAGTGGCTATAAGAACATACTGCGGATGCGCAAGGCAGCATCCAAGCCTGTGCGCGGGCCCAGTTCCCCAACACAGACCCGTGGGGGACCCCCACAAAGAGGGAGACCTCCTAGAGATAAAGAGGTATCAAGAGGCCCCCCTAGGCAGCCTAAAAGAAGGGGGAAGGAGAGCCCTAAACGTGAGCAAGGTATCAGAAGTACTCCAACAGCCTGAGGAAAGCCCCAGCCAGTTCTGTGAATGACTAGGCGAGGCGTCCCAACCCTTCCCTCCCTTTGATTCTGAGGCACCAAATAACCCGCAGGTAAACAAGCCCAGAGACATATTTGCAAGAGCTCCAAAAACCAGAGGACTTTGCTGAAAACAATGCCAGTGAGCTGATTAAAGTGGCCACCACAGTTTTCATCAACTGAGACCAAGAGGCTCAAGGAGAGGCACACCAAAAGATGAAGAAGGAGATGGGACTCCTTGCAGCTGCCCTCACTGCAAACCCAAAGGTCACTCAAAGGGCGGTCCCACCAGAACAAAGCCAAAACAAGTATCAAAATCCGGCCAGATGCAGGGCCAAAGGAAGGTCTGAATGGAAGGACCCCCTTATCCGGGAACAAGACTGAGACTAAGCTGATGTGCCTACTGCCATCTAGAGGGCCACTGGAAGAAAGAATGACCCCAACTAAAGGCCAGTTGACCTGAACCAGGCTGCCACAGGGCTTCAAAAACTCACCAACCATCTGCTGGATGGTGCTGGCTTCTGATTTCTTGTTTTATAAAAATTGTGGTGGCCACTTTAATCAGTTAACGGCATTGTTTTCACCAAAGTCCAGCAAAGTTTGCAATTTTTGGTGAATGTATCTCTGGGCTTGTCTCACGAAGTCTGTATTTGATTATCTTCTGGTTGTCTGGTGCCTCAGGATCAAATCAAGTGAAAAGTTGGAAGGCCTCAGTTCATCAAAGAGGCAGGGGCCTTTGTCAGGGTTTTGGAGTACTTCTGATATGGTTTTTAGGGCTTTCTTTCTCCCTTCTTTTAGGCTGCCTGTGAGGCCATCTTGATAGGAGGCCTTTCTCTTTATTGGGATCTCATCCATATACTTTCACACACCTTCACACAGATATGATCAGAGCAAAATTTTTCTATCACCCAAATTCCAAAAAGTCCAAAGCCAAAGAAGGAGTCCTGGTTTCCTTTCTGCTCTCTCACCCCAAACAGTGACTACTTGGAGAACTCCCTGTGTTCTTTGGAAGTTACTGAGGACCCCCAGGGTTGATCAAGCGTCTCTTCCACCTGATGAGGCCTCTATGGGGAGGCCAGGTGGGCAACCAGTAATGGATCTGGGTCCTACCTGTTCAGTTGGGGTGCTCAAGTTCCCTAGTTCTGGCGTTCCTGCTCCTGTTGGGTTCCGTTGTGCTCAGGGTGGCAGCTCAGGATGCCGGATGAGTCACCTCACTTACAGGCAAAGAGTTGCCTGTGGTGGACCAAGGAGACGTGTTGTCTTCCCACATGCCTAGGAAGACAGACCCAGAGACAAGCGAGGCAGAAAAGCTGTCTTGACCTCCACTGTCCCACACGGGTTGCCAAATGATGTAGGACAGAAGAGGATGGACACCTGAGGAATTTTCAGGAAGCGGGTTTATTGGGTGCAGGGTCTAGACAGGCTGTTGTCTAAAGTTTCTCTGTACCATGAATCTTGAAATTCTTCAAACTTTATACTCATTGGAGGTAGAGCTTGGAGGTTTACATTTTTGTAGGAGTGTACTTAACAGTATTATTATTATTTTTTTGAGTCCAAAGGAGGTGCTTTTTGTCCCCCCCCCCCCGCTTTGTTAGATTAGTCAAAAGCAGAAGTAACATTATCAAATCTAGGTAAACTTAGCTTTTGTAAGAAAGAGCAAGTTAGTCCTCACAGAAAATAGGAAGTCTTATCCCACATTAATTTTTTTTGCAGGAATTTTTGCTGATTTTGTGCTAATAAGAACAAGTATGCTGAGTTATCTGGAGAAAGTTAATTGAGATTTTTTTGGTAGAGAAGGGGACCCCATTCCATTTCTTAATGGAATTTGCAGTGACATGTTGAAGGGGACAAAAAAAATCACTTTTAATTTTGCTTGCCACAAAAAGTAATGTGGTAAGCTTTTTGTTCTCAGTGTTCACTGTGTAAACCTATGTGTAGTTGGAAAACTAAGTAGTGGACAATTTTTTTAAAAAAAATTTTTATTAGTTGCTCAAAACATTACAATGATCTTGACATATCATACATTTGATTCAAGTGGGGTATGAATTCTTTTTTTCCATGTGCACAGATTGCAGTATCACATTGGTTTTACAGCCACGTTTATACATACAGCCATATTAGTGAGTGGTGGACAATTTTAATTCTGGCCTTCTCTGCTCCATTTCTAACAAGTCTCAGCAAGCCTCAATCATAGGTACAAAGGAAAACAATTGAATGATATAATTTCCTTTGTTTTATGATCAACCAAAATGGACAACTGCAGAGGCCTGGGTGGGGCTGGAAGCCAAGGAAAAAAATGTGCTATAGATACCAGGGGGATATCAATTATTTTCCCAAATTTCATAACACTTTGATATTGTACAGTCATGCCTGTTTTAAGGATTTTTGATGATAGCTTAATGGCTAGTTAGAGTATAGCCATAAAAAAATAACATGAAAACACATTTCTTAGATCGTATCTATGTTGTTAAGTGACACACGAGTTAGTGCTTCAGATATGCTAGGCAAGAGCTCTACCACAATCTCAGTTGTCCAGCCCTTCTTGTTTTGAGCAGGGTTTAAGTTGCTTAGCGCCACTGGGATTATAGACGTGTGCTTCCGTGCCTGGCACTATTTTTGGGGGGATGGGGGGGTACTGGGGATTGAACTCAGGGGCACTCAACCACTGAGCCACATCCCCATCCCTATTTTGTATTTTATTTAGAGACAAAGTCTCACTGAGTTGCTTAGCACCTCGCTGTTACTGAGGCTGGCTTTTTTTTGAACCCGGAACTTTCTGTCTTATCTTCTCGGGAGAACTGGGATTAGGATATTGATCAGTGGTAGTGCGGATCTGTACCGGCAAGAAATATTTTGTTTATATACTTTTCTGTAAGTTTTTAAAATTTATTTTTACCTTAAAAAAAAAAAAAAAACTAGAGACATATATGCACGTTAGCTGAGGTCTACACGGAGTCACAATCACCAATCTTGAATTTCACGGTAATGTGATGTCTTTCGGTTCATAGTCTAGATTCTGGCTCTTTGGTACTGGGAGGGCACATTGTTCCTATTGGAGGTGGAGCGATTTACTACGGAGAAGTCACCATGGGTTTAAAATGCTGGACAAAGGATCTGCGCCATTTTCCAGCGGAACAAACTGCACTATAATCTTACCGTGAAGTTCTCAATTTGTCTTAAACCTTGCATCTCTCCCATTGCCTAAAACTGATAATTGGAGCATAATGATAACGAACAGGTTGAAGACAGGCATTTTTTTTCCGCAGAAGAGATGGCTGCATTTTTTCAGGGTGGATTACTACGTCCAGATTAATGGGTTTCACTGCTTGGACCGGGGTTTGCTGGTGTTGGAAGGGCTTTCAGAGGGAGAAGCTGACAAGACAGAACAGGTTTGTCATCACTGTCTCCCTGTATATTAATATCAGTTTCGAAGTAAATGAGAGTGTCTTCAAGGTAGGGATGTAAATTCCCGAGCTCCAGCAGAAGAGAGTACCACTTCCCACTTTTGTTTTTTGGATCTTCTGTTTTTGAAGCTGTGTCTCACTGTCCACTGGACACTAATTCCAAGGCAGGGACAGATTTTCCAGCATCTGGTCTGTGGGGGTTTATAGTGTTACAGACTATTTGGATATAGCTGTGAAGATTCTCAATTTTCCTTTCTTTACTTCATTCCAGAAGCGAAAGTTCTTTAGCGTCTACTCTGAAGACTCTTTTGTTCTTCACAGCTTTAATGATCACAGTTCCTATTGGATTATATTTCACAACTAAATCTTATATATTTGAAGGTAATCCTCAACTCATAAAAAAGGAATTTTACCCTTTACATATTTAAGTTCTATACTTTGAGTGAACTCTTTTTATCAGTAAAGTGAGTATTGCTATTTTTTCTCTGGTTTTGCTTTACAAAAAATATTAATCATAAATCTTCATGAAATGCACTCTTTCATCATATGTAATTATTTCATTCTAACATATTTTTATGTGTATCACCTTGCATTTCTTTACTATCCTTTTGAGAAGAGTTTGAAAAAAGAATTTCATCAGATGGAATTTTTGTGTCAGAGAAAGGGAAAATTAAATCTCCTTTTTAATGTCAAAGTGCTTAAAAAGCTAGCCGTGGTAGTGCACATCTTTAATTCTACTCACTTGCAAGGTTTAGCCAGGACGATTGCAAGTTGGAGGCCAGCCTATGCATGTTACTAAAACCCGCCCCCCCCCCCCAAAAAAAAAAAGAACTGGGATATGCCTCCAAGTTCTGGATCCAGTATATAAAAAAAAATCCTTAAACGAAATTTTAATGATGGTTTCCTTTCAATTAATGTTCTCAGTACATAGATTGTCAAATCTTAGTGAATATTCAATTTACTACCATCCAAAATAGTACCTTTTAATAGCTTGACTACTTAAATATGCAACTAATAACAATTAGTGTACTTTCTGTTTTGTACCTTGGTGAATTTTGAAATAAAATGAAAGCTTTTTCTTTCTTTGATAGGTATCCTCGGAATGTCGAATAGGGATAGTTACTTTTATGCTGCGATTGTTGCTGTGGTTGCCGTTCATGTGGTACTGGCTCTCTTTGTGTATGTAGCCTGGAATGAAGGCTCACGGCAGTGGCGTGAAGGAAAGCAAGATTAAAGTGAACATCACCTTTTGATGGAATTGAATTGATTTTTTAATATGGTAAATGTTTTTGGGACATTGGTGATGAGTAAATTTTATTTGAATAAAGTTGAAAGAACATGTTAAAATCAAACTTAATGAGTCACATTTGACCACGTGTAAATTTTGACTCATCTAATATAATGTTTTGTATAAGTGGATTTAACTTCATGAATTTCCCATTTGCAAAGGAGAAATTGGAAAAGTTAAATTGTTACAAATTAATGTGAGTTTCACATTATCCTGGGAAGAGTTTGATTATCTGATAACCAAAAAAGTTTTATAGCTTTCAATCTTAAAAGTTGCTTTTCAGTTATACTGTGTATAAGATGTATATAATGAAGCAAGCCTAAACTTTGACACTGGAGCATTTTCCTAACTTATCATGAAAATACCAGGTCCTTGGATTTGGGATTTTAATTTCCTGTGGAAAAATGCTTAAATTTTGGACACTACAATTAATCTGAATGTCACTGAGAAATTTCACAAAAAGTGTAATTCCTAGTCAGAACAAATCTCTCCCGAAAACTAGGATAAGCCACACCCATTCATACAAAAGGACTTTGGTTTATTGTGGGATCTAGAGAACAAAGACAAGAGCTGCCTGCCAGTTGTATGCTTTTTCAGACCAACTATTTATGTTCTCCTTTACTCTCTGGTTCAACATCGAAGTTAGGCTTCATTACAAAGTTTGTGGACATTTTATTTAAAATTGTAATTCCTACTTTTTCTTAAATTATAGTGTATATGAGTTTACATTTCATAAACTATTCATATTTTCATACATTGACAGTGTAAACAATTCTGAAAACATTATTTTATCACTTAGGAACATTCTAGGCATATCTTGATCTAATGATCTTTTTAATCAGACCTTAGTTCATGCAATATATAAATACATAGTTAATCCACAAGTTCCTTTTTAATGGGGAAAAATTCCTGTGATTTCACTTTATTTTTGTAATTTCAGTCTGTATTCTTTCCAGCCAGTTGGTACTATTTGTGTGCAATCTAAAAATACTGATCCCTTAAATATTTTTTTCTATAGAACCATATGATTATATGGAAAATACATATTCAAACAGGAAAACAACAAAAATCCCCCCCTTAATCTTGTCACATGGAGATAATCACTACTTTGGTTTATATCCTCTGTGCAGTTTTGACAGCTATTTCTTCCCTTTTTTTGTGGTACTGGGGATTGAACTTGGGGCCTTATGCATGCAAGGCAATAAGTTTACCAACTGAGCTATATACCCAGCCCTTAAAAGCTATTTCTTGATGCTAATTCCGTACAACATCGCAAGTTGGGTTTAAGTTCAAATCCTGCCATTTGTACCAGACAGCTATTTGCATTTTTTTCAGATAATTGGCCATTTTCGTACTTTTAAAATTCAAAATTTCAGTGTTTTTACCATATAAAGAAATGATAAATGTATGAAGGGATAGATACATGTAACCTAATTTAAACATTACACAGTGTATATATGTATCAAAATATCACATGCCCCCCCAAAATATGTACTATATTTATGTTTTTATGTATTAGTTAAGAAAGTAAAAGGAAATATAAATTTCTTATTACTGATGATACTAATATGAGGCCCCTTGCTTAAGTGTTTGCCATTATCAATTTGTTTGTTGTTATTAGGTTTTTTATGTTGTGGAACTGGACAAAAGGAAAAAATAGATGATTAGACATAAAAGTCAAGTATGCATTTATGCTTATAAAGAAAAATAAAAGATTAGTGTGGTTTTAGGATTATTCTTAATTCTTGCTTAAAGTTAAATGTTGTCTACAGTTTAAATATCTTTAAGCAGGTATTCTAAAGGTAAAGTTTTTGGTAAAGATTACAATTGTATATAATGGCATTTGAATCTAGGGTGTTGTGTGGTAGAGTTCTAAATGGTTTACTCATTAGATGGCCTGCTGTATTTAAAATTAATCACCTGAATTTTTTATAATGCCAAGGTTTTTCTTGTACTTTTGGGATCTTAGACTGTTTGTAAAATATAATGTCCAATGTTGGATTTTTTTTTTTTTAATTTTAGACATTTTCTGAGTAGCTAATGATATGGATATTTTTCTGTAAGCATTTAAACCAGGGATATGTGCAAACACATCATTTTCTCTTGGAAAAATGCCAAGTGTTAAAAAGTTACAATCATGTGTTAGGATTATTGATATTTAGGATTATTACTAAATAGGCTTTTCAAAGCAGTTACTTTTCCTAGGATTTTAACTGTTAACCCACCAGTTTTCTGCTGATAACTGTGTTAGTTAACATATGGGTATTTGAGAAATAAGTTTATTTTTCAAGATATTTTGCCAGTTTTTGCATGTATAATGTATATACTTCAAGATGTATACGAAGTAAAGCTACAGTTGAGCCCTTATACATTGTTTTAAATTAGGAATATTTTTCACTGTTGTTTGAAAACTGCTTGTAACAAGAACCTCAATTAGGAAGTATAACTTGAAGCATCAGTCCAAGCTACTGATATAATCCCATTTACTGTAATGATACCTTCCTAAACTCCTGATTTACTCTCCAGGATGTATTTCCTTTTTTGCTGAAAAATGAAAACTGCCATAAAATGTCATTAGCTTTTCAAATGAATACCATATTGTGTACAATAGTAGAAATTGGTTTTGAGTTGTTAATGAAGAATTATAAACCTACTATTAAAAACAAAACAAAACCTTATGTTTCAGCCAGGGAAGGTGGCACACAGTGGTAACTCCAGCTGTTTGGAGGCAGAGGCAGGAGGATCATGGGTTCAAGGCCAGCTTGGGCAATTTAGCCAGACCCTATCTCAAAATAAAAATTAAGAAGGGGCTAGAGATATAGCTCAGTGGTAAAGTCCTCCTAGTTTCATTCCCCGGGACCTGAAACAAACAAAAGCCCTGTGCTTCATGGGCATCTTTACAGAAATAAATTGTGATAATTAGAATGTTTTTATTATAAAAAAAATCACATCAGCTTTACCAAGAAAAAAAACTGATTAACTTTCTTTCATGTTTATTTTCCATCTTCATATAAATTTTACATACACAGCTACAGTACCCAAGGAAACAAGTAAAAACAGTTAAACAAGTTACATATACCCCAAACAGACTAAATCTGAAGGTACATAAAACATTTAAATTTTGTTTTAAACCCAGACAAGTTGATGTTTATTGTTCATTTGTGCCCATGTGAAGTTGTGGACTGTTGTCAAACCCATTTGATAAATGCTTCAACTATGGCACACAATTTGTCTCTTCAGTGGCAGGTTTCTCTGCTGTTAAGCATTGCATGTCCTCCACCAGGGCTGTACAACTGTTCATGCAGATTCTGCTCCTGTGTTAGATAGTTTTTACAAATGTTGTACTGATGTATACATTAAAAATTTGACAGGACTTACTTTTTTGGTCCCTTTTCAGGGGTAAAGAGTAATCTTAAAATTATTTTCAGGGACTTGAGCAACATAACCATAATTGTTACAAGTAATCTGTAAATAGTTTGGTCCTTTATGTATTCCTTGAAATAGAACAAAATTCCTCAACATCACTCCTGGCCACTTTCCTTGTTTCCTTCTTTCCTTGTTGCTGTGTACTTGAAGGAAATACCCGAGTTCCTTTTCACATATTCTATGAGTCATATTTCTCAGTTATACACACTAGTCTTCCTTTTTCCCATGTTTGGTGAGACTTCACTGAACAGGAATAATAGCAATAGCTAACAACAGCTGCATAGCACATACAGTTTGCAAAGAACACTCACACATTCTCTTCAGTTTTGCATAGTGAATCTGTTACAAGATGTCTCGACATCAATGCGGGGAGTGTGAGAATATTTAAGTCTCTATTGTCATTGGCTATGCCATAGTGTTGACTACTGCTCTGGCTAGGGAGAGGATGTCAGTGTGCCTGGTTTCAAGCCATGTGTCATTAATGCAGTAGGGGATGTGAGTTCTTTAGCCATTTGAATCAGATTGATTTTTGTAAGTGATGCTTTTCCTACCCTTATCTGGATGGGTTTTGTATTCTAGCCCGTCATTTGTATAAATTTACTATCTGTTGTCATTAAAAAAGTGTCTATAATGCCTGTGTCCTGATTCAATTAACAGTAAGGTTTTTAACCTCTGCTTTTTAAAGGTTTGTGGGTTGTTTTTTTTTTTTTTTTTGTCTTATTCTCTATAAAAGTTACAATATATGCAGGTATTGTTTTAAGATGTATTTGTTTGTCTTGTGTTTGTGCCGTGTAGAATATGCACAGAGCTGTCAAGGATGAGCTTTAATGCAGTACACATATACCAAAGGCTCTCAGACTGGTTGAGGTGTGCATGGGGTGCTAAAATGGGAAGGATTGGTTATATCCATCTAGGGTTGGCCTATCAGAATTGGCCTGGTGGTGTGGAGAAAAAGCTTGCCCCATAGCTTTTTTTTTAAAAAAAATCATTTGGGGGCAAACAGGCTTCAGTATCACTAAAGGAGTAAGGCTGAGAAATACTTGTGGTTAATAAAGACTAGGAGAGAGAATTTCTGGACATGTTCAACATGGCACCCCTCCCATGACCAATGCTCTGTGTCCTGCTTCCTCTAATCATTTGTTGATCATACACACTCTAGTTCCTTTCTGCGTTTCTGAGAACTACAGTCAATTCTTACTAATCACTAACGTCCCCTTCCAGATAACATTTGTGAGATATCTTAGTTTCAAAGATACAGATAACGAGATGATCCAGGAACTCAGGGAACAGGTAATGAATGGCATTGCAGAAACCACAGAAAAGCAGTGCTAAGAATCACCTTGTAGGACTTAGTAAAAATTCTAGATTGCTCAAACCTAACCCAGACCTGGCTCAGAATTTCTGGGTGCAGAGCCTACAAATGTCTTTGAAAGGGGCATTTATCCTGCATGCAGCCAGATGGAGACCCACTGACAGATTTATGTCTCTAAATACATGTTATTAATGCTGGACTTGATATTTTTATAAAGGTGTTTTAGGCAGATTTGTGTCACTGAGTATAAGATCTGAAGAGAAGACTTACAGGAGGAAAGATTTATATTGGCTCCTAGTTTAAGGTTCAGTCCATGGTTGACCATC